TGGGCGAGAGCATCAGCCGCCTGACGGCGCCCTCGGTGAGCGGGGCCGGAGCACGGGGACCGGGAAAGTTGGCGCGGGCCGAGCGGGGACGTGCGCGCCGAGCCCCGCCCGGCCGCTGGGGGGCGTGAGAGCGCGGCGGGCGCGGGGGGAGGCTCGCTTTCCCGGGGTCCTGATCCCGGGGCCTGGACGCCCACCGCTACGCCGTGCACCCGGCTTGGTGTGGGTCAGCCGGGCGGGCCCGGGGCTGCTTCACACCCACCTGTTCTCCTTCCCCCAAACTTTCCCAGGCACTGTGTTCTGCACTTCCCCTCTCCAGGTCTTTCATCTCTGTTCTCCAGGATCCCAAAGGAGCCCCTACCCCTTCCAGGAAACTCTTCCGCTCTTTTTTCCCACACTCTCTTGGTCTTCGTGTGACCTTCCCTGACATCTTTGCATTCCAAAGGCTCTCTGCCTTCTGTGTTGCATCCCTTTTCTCAAGAATCTTCAGGAACTGGCTGTTAGATCCTTTCTTGCGTTGCCTTCAAATGATGAAACCTCTGGCCTCTTCTTTTCTCCCCAACCCCCTGCCTTTTTTCTTTTTCCCCTGAGCATTTACTGGCTCAACTTTGTTCTCTGGGTAAACCTGGTGTCTGCTTTTCTAAACCTGTCTGGTGTTTCTTGAACCCCTCCCTCCTCCTTCACTGCCTTTTCCCTGGGTTCTTCAGTGGTTTCTCCCTAATTTTTGTCGTGGCTACCTTCTGTTAGACCCTTTATAACTAACTATCTGTTGAATTAATCGCTGTCTTCCTAGCCCTCTCTAAACTGGTGCTCATTCGGGATGTCTGTATCAACAGTTCAAGGTGTACTCCAGATTCCCCCGCGTTCTAGACATTTTCCCGGAGCACTTCTGCCTCATCCCTGCTTAGGCTATTCGGCTACCCTTGACTTTTACAGATTCAGGGATGCCAGACCTCCGTTCCAGTCTTTCTCTGACTGATGAGCTAGCTCTGTTTTGAAGGAATCCACTCCACTGCAGCCAGAATCTTAAGGAGATTCAGTGTCAAACCTCCATCCACCTTTTATTCTCATGCCGGTCTTGGGTCCAAGGGCTTCAGTTGCTGACAGAACTTTTAGCTCTGCACCCCTGGGACTCTTCTTACTTTTTTCCAAGTTTCCAAAATGAATGGGAACATTGATCTTATTTGACTACTCTGGAGTCTCGCTTTTCAAAGTACTCTTGCAGTCGAGGGTAGGAGGGACCTGAGAAAGAGTGGGATCCTGATCAGGGTATTAGTACCAGGCAGTCCTACAAATATCTCCATGGCCCTGCATTAATGAAGAATGACCTTTTCTTTCTTTTAGCAATGAAACTACTCTCACTCATCTTATTTGCCTTGTGCATTTTCTCTTCAACGTATCTTTTGCCACGTCTTCCACTGATAACCTAATAACAAAACTCAGAATGGGTTGGCTACTGTTTGCTATTCTTTACTGCAAATATTTCCCAAGAAGCATAATCTTAGGAACTATTTGATGTTGCAAATTGTTGAAATTATAAGCCTTTATGAAAGCAGGACAGTAATCCTGCACGTCTGTAGTTTTGTGTTAGTATCTAAAGTAACATTTGTGCAGTATAGTAATTCCTCAGTACAACAGATTCGTATCCGATACAGTGATTTCACTGAAGATAATGACTAGTTTGGGGAGGTTGTTCTTATAATCTCTGAGTTTTCTTTTTGCCTACAAATCAGAATTTACAAATCTCTATGGCATGTGCTCTGTAATGCCAATGTAACTGAAGATTATTCTTAACAACTTATGTGAGAGGTAGATAAACTAAACTGAATCCGAGTATTTACTGCCTGAATAAGGAGGAAATAGTTTCTTGCCTTTACCTTTACAAGTCAAATTTGAATGATGCTAGCTTTTTGATGGATAAAAAGCACGTACCCACGTAATGGTTATGCTAAGATAAGGATAAGAAATCTATTAGCTAGCATGCTGACAACATACAGGTAAATATAAATCTTTTCAGCCTCATAAGGCATGGATAAGCAAATGTGGATTGGCTAACCATATCACCTATGGACTTGGTAACACAAAGATGACAGAAAGATTATATTTCAAAGCAGTGACTTATTTCTGTGATCTCCACCCCTCTGTTTTTATTTGGCAATCTAGAACATTGCTTCAAGAAGTTTCAGTAGATTCATTTTCCTACGTGCCCAGCACTCTAAACTTCTCTGAAAACACTTGGGGAGACAAATGATATGTCTTCTCCATTCTCTTTCATTAGAGCTGTCTATTTTTTTTTAATAAATAATTTTGTAAAGAATAGTTATAATTCGGAGGTGGGAATTTCTAGCTGTTTTGAGTATTGGAAAGCTTTTCTACATTCTGTCACAGTATGTTTCAGGAGAAACTGTCCTTGCTGTGCAAGTTCCTGCCTTCTTAGTGGCCTCAGCATGGAATGTCATCTCAATCACTGGAGATTGGTCCTATATTCGGAATAATCTGGCAAGGAGGAAATGAATTTAATAAACACGAGGATATTGCCAAGTAATTAAGCTAGTTGTTTGATCATTGGAAAATGCTAACTCAGGTTTTTGACATTTTGACAGTCATTTTTAGATGCATTGGCTATAAATATTACAATACTTCACACCATTTTAATGATAAAAATAAATTGAATTGATGAAATTTTGAAACAAATTCCAGAATTTGGGAGACCTGGTTCTCATTCCCCATGCCTTGGATGACTAGCTACTTACATATTTCTGTGCACATGACTTTCACTCTCTGGAAGCCTTCTCGTCCATAAGGTGTTATACTTATGATCCTTCCCTGCTCTCGCATTCTGTGAAGACATATTTTTCAAGCTTTTGATAAACTGTTATAAGAGCATATAAAAGAAAAGAAGGCACCCACCTATGAGTTTTAAAACCTTGATGAGAGTAGATTACTTTCCTAAGTAGGGACCTCAAGGTTCTGTTAATTCCGTGCAATTATTACAAAATATCTGTGGCCATCCTGCTGGGCAAGTATTGTGCAAAGTGCTGGTGATACGACTTCCAGCAAAACATTCCCATTCTTTGACCTCATGGAACGTCTTTATTATGGCCTTTATTTTAAGGAAGCTGTATTGAAGGAAAACATAAGATCTCCAACTGTCTTGGAGCTGTCTGGGGGAAGTTCATTCATCATTCACTTTGGATAATTTTGTTCCCTGTGAATCTCTGGGGCACCGCCATAACAACAAAAATAAACTTAAAGACCTGGCTGAAGATGCATAAATCGCTTATTACATTATTTATTTTGAAATCATTTACTTGGGAACACATATGGAGAAACAGCTGGGGATTTTACATCAAGGGTGAATTTAGTAACTCATTTATTTCTATTTTGTTCTTATAAATGGGAGTTGCTGAGAACCCTATCACTTAGACCCCTGTTACTGATCGGTTTGGGGTTTGCTAATGTCAGCCTGTCAGTGAAGATATTCCAGGAGACCAACTTCAGGCCATGGCTTCCCTCGTTTTCTTGTCAGAGAACTATGGGCTGTTACAGCCTTGTAGGTGGCCCTGAAGACTCCAGAGGCTATGGGGAGCAGAATGGCAGGAAGAAAAGTCGCAAGACTGGAATGGAAGGGTGGCACATACGGGGAAGAAAGCTACTGACAGAGAATAGTCCAAGAAACTGAGAGAACAGCGAGGAAACAAAATGGAAGGGAAGCCTGGATTCAAGTAGCGAGAAAAACCAGACATTGTTTCATTATTTGTGGAAAGGAAATGATATTGATACATGCTTAAGAAAAAGTGGAAGGACATAAAAATAGACATATTTAGCCTCCCCTGATATTAAATGAAATGAATTCTCTGACATGGATTAAATACTTAAAAAAACGCTTAGAATGTGACCATGTTACTAGCATGTAAATAATGAAAAATAAAGTATATTTGTGAGATAGGATGTTTTATCAATTTACATATCTTATTCAAGTTTTTACAGTTTGGGGCTCAATTGGCTAATAAAGTTCTGAGCAACACATTCATTAGAATTAAAAAGTTAGGCCAAAGGTATTCTAGTAGTTCTATGTTTTCATATTTGTAGAAATTAGATACTATTATCTGAAATCAGAACTTAATGGCCATCTAGGGCTTTTCTCTACTTCCTCCCTAATCATTGGGAAACAATACGGCAGAGCTGAAGGATTGGGAATTTGACAGCTGTGGGTTTGACTAACTCTCTGATGAGCCCCTTAGGAAGTGTGAGACCCGGGAAAGGCAACTCCTACATTCCCAGAGCCTTGGTTTTGTATTTTGTGGCATATGAATAATAATTACTTTGTAGATTTGTTGTGAAAGAGGAGGAGCACAATTCTTTGTGAGATTGCTTCAACTCAGTAAAATGTTAGTTTCAGACCAAGATCCATTAATTTCAACTGAAGTTGAATGTCTCCAAATGGTCTAAAGTTTTTTCTTTTTCTTTCTTTCTTTCTTTCTTTCTTTCTTTCTTTCTTTCTTTCTTTCTTTCTTTCTTTCTTTCTTCTTCCTTCCTTCCTTCCTTTCTCTCTCTTTCTTTCTTTCTGCTGCTATAATTTACTTGCTAGTAACCTTATGGAAAGAGTTTATGGGTTAACTGGTGTCATATACTAAAAAAAAAAAAAAAGGTGATAAGAAGGAGTTTATATTGTTGGCGTTGCCCAGCCAATCCATTAAAAAAATTAAAACTGGAGTCCCATTTTGGCTCCCTGGCTAGGACTCCTGTGTGTGAACAAGCATCTGTAATCATTGTAGATTCAAATATTTCCAGCAAACTGCTGAATGCTATGTGGCAAGATGAAAACCACTCCTGTAAATTCTCTAAAAATACAAGGACATATATATTTGGTGTAATGTGGGTATTTCACAATAAATCACTCCAAGATTGGAAAGAAAATAAAGAGGTGACAGAGAAACTGCTTATTTTATTTGCCTGAGCATTTCAAGCGTTCCCCATCCATTGCATTCAAACTAGTTTGCACGTGTGTTCAGGGGTTTAGGCAACGGAGATGCAG